TGACTCATGACTAAGCCCGGCCCGGTTTCAGGCTCCCGGGAGCCCTCCCGCCAGCGCATGCCCCGCCCGGAGGCCGGGCCCAGCAGGGAGCTCCCGCTCTGCTCTCACCCATGCGGGTGCCCGGCCTGCGAGCCCACACACGCCCGGATCACAAACAGCGGCCTCTTCAAAGGCCGAGCGCGCAGCAGAGCGTGGGAGCCGGGAGGGCGACACACAGCCCAAGCAGCCGTCCGGACGGGCCAGACCCCCGGGCGAGACCCCACTGAAGCTCCCGACGGGACCATCGGCCACGCGTGGATGAGGCAGACGGTCCAGAGAAAGCTGTGCCCCGCTACTGCCACGACCGTGCTGCCTTCCTGCAAAGTCCACAATATTCCAGAAAGCTGTGTAACCGTGACCTCCCTGCAAAGCCAGGGTCAGCCACGGGCACGGACCCTCCTCCTGCACGTGACGCATGATGCCCGCAGAGCCGAGTCTCCTGCCCACATGTGCACAGCGTGCCAAGGGCCTCTGCCCCCTCCCCCTTCCGGCCTGGCTGGCTCCGCCGTCACTGGGAGGAGCCCGGGCCTGGCTGCAGGTGGGACGGGCTGAAGGTGCGGCCTGGGCGCATCACAGATGCCGGGACAGGGTCCTCCCCTGTGCCAATGGTGTCCACGGATGGCACCCTGGAGGGAGTACCCACGGAGGGGACCCCCAGGAGCTAACGTTGGGAGAAACCCAGAGGCACACAGATGGGGACCAGGATGGGCACACGTGTGCTTTCAGCCCACAGCACGCACCGCCCCCCGTCCCCCGGGCCTGCTGACCAGGGCGGGACAGGGCGGGAGCCGCACGCCGGGACGCCTGGGCAACAGTGACGGGCGTAGCCGGGAGGACGCGGGCCTGCTCTGGGTCCCCTTGGCGACGGGCACACTGTTCTGTTTCTGCCTGAAACGCCCCGGCCCGCGTGGCTCCGCGGTTGTGTCCACCTAGGAACCAGGAGGTCTGGTTCCCGGTCAGGGCACAGGCCCGGGTTGTGGGCTCCGTCCCCAGTGAGAGCTGTGCAGGAGGCAGCCGGCCCATGGTTCTCTCTCATCGTGGATGTTTCTCTCTCTGTCCCTGCCTCTCTGAAATCAATAAAAACGTTACACAAAACAAAACGAAACGAAAGCAACAGAAGCAGGAGAGCCTGGGGGGCATGGCCACTGCGAGGCACCCAGGGGGAGACGGACACGAACCTCCCCACCCCCCCTCAGGGCAGCCTCTGCTGCCAGGACTCAGCTCCTCAGGGCACAGAGAGGGGCCCACACCCAACAGCCCCCCCCACCTTGGAACATTCCGGAACACCCTCACCCTGTCCCATGCTCCCGCCAGGCCGGTGGCATTTCTGACAACCTGGGGTCAGGAGGATTGGGGTGAGGGCCCCGCCCTCTGCCCTCCGCCCTGCGGCCTCCAGGCCCGGCCTCGCCGCCTGCCCAGCCCAGAGGCCGACCCGGTCCCTCAGGGGACACAGCCCCGCAGGCGCCTGGACCTGCGCAGACCGGCCGCGGGCTTGTCCATCCTGCTCTGCGCCCGGGGCAGGCGTGTCCGCACCAGGTGGGGACTGGCCTGGAGCCTGGACCGCGCTGACCGCCCGAGCCGCGCAGGCAGTGGAGGCAGCAGGGGCGCGGCCACAAGCGCCTCCACGCAGATCACCGATCGCAGGACGGGTCTGAGACTGGACTCAGGGGCCGGCAGCTGCTGGCGGGGGCAGCAGGGCTGCGGAAGGTTCCAGAGCTGGGAACTCAGGCAGTTCGCGCTCCTAACTAAGCCACTTGCACATCAAAGTGAGCCTGAGCCCGGGCCGACCCAGCGTGGCCCACGCACCGCAGGGAACAGAGGCCGGGAGAAGGCGGGAGGAGGCCGCTGTGAGGCCGCAGCACAGGCGACGGAAGACCAAAGGCACCCGGCCACTCGCTGCTCCACGGGAGGGCGGCCGGGCAGCGCTCCACGGGGAACTGCACACGGAGTCTCTCACTCTGCGGCGTGGGCCCCCCGAGCACCCGCAGCCTCAGCGCGGGGAGGCGGGCCCGGAGGACCAGGGGCAGGCTCATGTCCTGGCGGCCAGATGAGGGCTGAGATCAGGGTGTGGGCAGGAGCCGCCGCTAAGGGAGCTTCCACCCTGAACAGAAAGAAAAGGCCGGAAGGACGGAAGGACCGGGAAGGGGAGGGGCCAGCACAGCGATGAGGAGAAACACAGCGGCCCGGGAGCCTGACCCGCAGCCCGAGGGGTCACAGCCAGGGCCAGGCAGCCGAGGGGCCGCTGGCCAGGCATCAGACTGAGTGTGAAAACCATCTCTGGTCAGAAGGGCCGACGCCGGCCTGGGACACGGTCAGTGTCAGGGGGAGGGCCCTGGTGCTGCCTTCCAGGCCCGGCCGTAGCCCCACCTCCCCCTGGGCGCTGCCCAGCCACTCCTTGAGGCCCTGGTCACCGACAGCAGGGACGTGTCCTCGCTCCCGACCCGGGGGAAGGTCTGCAGAGGAGGAAGTGAGCAGGAAGGAGCTGCTCCCAGAGCCACAGGCAGGAGGGGACGGGACAAAACGGACGAGGGTGCCATGGGGGCGGAGGTCACCGCACGATGGGGTCAGCGCCACCTGCGCACAGTGTGGAGTTCACACGCCCCACCACGTGGCCAGCAAACACGGGGAGCAAAGCCCCTGGGAAGCAGGACCCCTGGAGGAAGAGGAGCCCCCCACTTCCCAGTGAGGAGACGCCAGCGCAGACGTGAACACAGCAGGAAGCCCACCTTCTCAGAGGTGACAGGCGCCTGCAGACACCAGCCCAGCACGGCCCTGGGTGGTGACGGGGCCCAGGCAGAGCCGCGGCAGCAGCAGAGGCCACGGGCCCAGGAAAGGACCCAGAAAGTGCTTCGTACGCGCTGACCCCGATGCCTAAACCCAGTAACACTTCCACAGGGACAGCGGCCACAGTGACCCCTGAGGGTCCACCCCGAACTCTGGACAACAGCAAAGGGTCCGGGTCTGACCTGCCCACGAGGGCCCCCCCCGGGGGGGAGGTGTATAGGAGGGGGGAGAGGTCCTCTGCTTGGGACCCCCCGCCCTCCCCGGCTCGTGTCTGTCACTGCAGCCTTTAAAACTGACGGGGAAACCCAGGTCAGCGCCCCTCGCTGCTCTGAGCCTTCAGGCAAATTGTCACCTGGAGGAAGTGGTGGTGGGGCCCCGGCCTACAGCCCAACAGCACAGCCGGGAGCGGGGCCCACACGCGCCATGTAGCCAGGGAGCCCCCTTGGTGTCAGCGCTGAGGAGGGGCCACGGGCCTCCTAGCCGGGCATCGCTGGGCCACCTCTCGGACGCACAGCAGCGGGGCTCCTGTGGGTGACGGCCCCCACAAACCAGGAGGGATTTCAGGCTGACAGCCTGGCCACCAGGCCTGTCGTGGCGACAGCCCCCAGGAGGCCGCCAGGAAGTTCTGGGACCTCACCGCCTGCCTGACGCGCCTGTGAACGGGGCCCCTCCGTGTGCGGTGGCCACGGGAGGACATGCCTGGGGCTGCCCACGTCCCTTGGCCAGCGTGGGATGAACCCCGACAGGTGCCCCCTTCGCAGACACACGGAGCCGTGTGCGACACACAGGGACTCCCCCACACTGACTGCCCGGGGGGCGGAGCCAGGCCCTGGCAGCAGGAGCCCTGTCGGGACCACTGTGGCCTCTGCG